AATGTTTCGCCTGTCGATCTGTGAATTGGTAAAAAGTACATCGTTGAGATAGTCTGCCCGTCGGTCAGTCATTCAGTCAATCAGTCAGCAGGAATAAGCATTCGGATGCATGAGAGAAAGAAGGAAAAAAAAAGCGAGAAAGGAAGAGAAAGAAAGAAAGAGATAAAAAGCCACAAATAAACGTTGGCCGCGTGCTAAGCAGATGCCAAACTTGTGATGCTGATCCAAATTGCACTCGCACGGTACCGTAGGATAAGAAATGATAACGGCAATTACTTGCAATATTTCAAATGAAATACGTATGACATATTAACTTCAAGACAGAAAGGCAATAAATACACGTAAAGAAAAATGCATGCATATCCAGCCACGCATCACTATGTAGATAATGGGAAATGCTATTGAATTTCTTCGCTATTGGCCCACTGTTAGAACAAACGGTGATGGCAACATTAAATTAACTAAATTACTGATTACATTTGTGGCTTCATGTTACTTTTGCTGCTCGGAAGAGTTTGTTTTTTTGCTCTTCTTCTTCTTCTTCTTCTTTTTTTTTTTTTTTAATTCGGTTATTTTGGCACGTTTGGCTGCCGTATGCGACGAATGAGTCGGCGACATGCAACAAAACTGCAGCCAATGTCGAATTTTATGACCAGTCAGTGTTAACCACGATGCTTATGTGTGCATTTAATACATGTCATCTACATACCTATATTGCATTTATGTACATGTATTGACCATAAGTGTGTATTTATGTAGATACGTAGATATGTGGGTATGGATTAATTTTGATATCAATTTGAAGGTTTGGTGTTTTTTTTTTTTATACATTTGTGAGTGATGATCACTGTATAGCGATATGTGCAGATATTTATGTGTGTACGATATCAGAGAGCTGTAATTTAAATTTTTTTTTTTTTTTTGTTTTCGCACCGTATATTCAGCAAAATTTTATGTGTAAATCTAAGAAGACAAGAAAAAAAAAAGCAATATATATATATATATGCAAAATACACTCAATTTGTATTTATGTCGGAAATATGCATACGTGCATATGTGTGCGCATTTATGAGAATTTATAATGGTTTCTACAAATTTTGGTTTTTTAATGTTAATGCGGTTGAATTTTTTGTTTTTTTTTTTTGCGATCCTGACGATTTTGTTAATGATTAAGAAAATTATATCAATTCGTTTAAATGCATATTGTACGGAATGCAGCCATTTTTCTACAGTAATTTACTGCATGCTATTGATTTTTTCCCTTTTTAATTTTACTTTATTTTTTTTTTTTTTACACTGTATTCTCAGTGCTGTAGTACTATTAGTTTTTGCTACTCGTTGCTGATCAATGGAGTATTTGGGCGCAAGTTATTTATTTATTTTTTTTTTTTATGTTGATTTTCGACAACAATGTAGCATCAAATTAAGCATTACGACGCAATACGTACGGCTGACTGACGGTTGTTGTTTATGTGGTCACAGATTGCAGATGTTTAATGAAATTGTGCGCAGTTATATGCATTTCATTAAAATGATCAACTCATATATATATATGTATACACATGAACGTTCTTATGTATCTGTGAGTTATATTCGACTCAATTACATTATGTTGCGGCAAAATTTTGTGGTTTTTAAATCAAACGATTTACGTTATTGTCATACTTTAGCTTAATTCATTTTAATCATATAAAAAGTAATAGAAATCTGCTTCTTCTTAACCTACTATATGCGGCTTATCGTTGCTCTGTCGCTTCGGAAAGAACAGAACCAAAAAAAAAAAAAAAAAAAAAACAAACCTCTTATCTCTTATCTAACCAAAGCTAGAATATGCCGCCCTTTCTATTGCAATAAAAAGAAGTCACAATTATAGGGTGTTTTCAATAGAGCGATCAATTTTCGCTACGTAACATTTATTAATTTATTTCACTAACTTTTCCAAATCCTTTCAATCATACCATAAGCGAACAAACGAAGAAAGCGAAAACCGTAAGCCGTAAACCTGACAATGGCTTCCTGCCTTTAAGAAGCAGAAGTGCAAAGAGAGAAATTGGAGTGAAATGATTAGTGATCGCTGTAATCTGCTGACTATCGATTTGAAGATTATTTTGGCAAATGTTGCAATAATTGCATCTGTCTCCAGCCTGAACTATAAAGAAGTATTGTAACGTAAGCTGTGTTTTGTGAATTTTCCGTTAATAAAGTTCGCTACACTGAATAGTGATTATTTGGATAGACTAGATTTTATTCACAGTTCTTTGCTCTTAGTTCTTCGCAACGCGTTAATTCGCTTTAGTACTACGACTCAGCTCTCTGCACCCAACTCACTCGACTGACTTTCGACTGACTTTGCTTGCGCGAATACGCTGCTTATATACCTTCTCACAACCTAGTTGCCATTACCTAAATTCATCGCGACATTTTTTAATCCGTTTTTCCGCTAAATTTCTGCCAATTACTGATAATCTTTTCGCCAATCACCACGTGCCAGTTGTATGACGCATGAATGTGTACTTGATTCTCGTGTTTCATTAGAATTTTGTGACTAATTTTCATGAAAACGGCAGTCCATTGAGAACAAAGTTCAGCCAGGGGGAGGCGCCGTAAATGAATTACTGTATCTTAGGTATAGAAATAAGTTATGTGTGTTAAATTTTGCTGCCTTATAAAGTAAACCGAATGCAATCATTTCTCTCCCTTGCCAAAACCTCAACACCACTTATGGGCAAAGCAATTCGAAAAATTGCTTTTACTTTATGACAACACCTGTCCGCATGCAGAAAATGCAAAGATGGAAATTAGTTTTAGCTTGGGCTAGGCATGCGTCTTTCGCATGCAGATCATTCTCTAGACCAGTCAGATCAATGTCGTATTCACCACATTCAGTAGCATGCGAAAGTTAAGGATATACGAAAATGGCTCGATGAGTACGTATTTCATCTCGGAACCAAAAGATCTCTACTGCCAAGGTATCGTTAAGCTATGCACAAAAATGCCATAAGACAATGGACAATCGAGTCTTGACGAAATGTATTGTAAATAAATAAATAAATAAATCAATTTATTAATGAGTTGATGTGGAATTTAATGAAAAGGTAGAACGAATTTATTCCAGCGCTTAATATTTCAATATCCAGTCCTTTGTTTTTCAATGAGAAAGAAAGTATGTAATGATGCATTCATTAATTGTGTGTATTAATTGTGTGTGTTCCTGCTTTATGTCATTTGTCAAAAGGGAAACATTTATGACATCCAATTAAATAAATACTGAAGAATTGCGTTGCTGCGAAAAGTTTATTTGATTAATTTTTTATTTATAATATTTTGATTAGATTTCATTCATTTCGTTAATACTAATGATAATAATACTAATATTCTATGCTATGTGAGTTAATTAATTAATTAATTGTATTTTGGAGTAAAAATTAATTAAAAATATTTTATTGAAATTTCAAAAACATATTTGGTGATTTCCATAGCTCTGTACAAAATTTGTTTGTCGCTTGCACACATCATGCCATAGAGAGCATACAAATTTTATGCGCAGTTGTTGGGCTTTTTTAATTAGACATTTACTAGGTAAGTAAATGATTTTTTTTTTTTTTTTTTTTTGTTTTGTTTTTGTTTAATACTCTCATCTAGAATACCAAGAGGTATGTATGTATATAAGAAAAGAGATCATTTCAAACAAAATTCGGAGCAATGTATAGATAATTTACAATCGAGTTTATTCAAACATATCTGAAGGCATCAAACTGTTTATCTATAATTTCAAAAATTTTTTGATGAATTTTTTCGCAATCGAGTTTGCAACTACGCTTCGATTTCTCAGTGAGAGGTACACTAGCTGAAGTTACGATTCGTCGATTTCTCTTCTTCGCTTGTAATTCTCTTTTCAATACGCTTGCATTCTATTTAGTAAAAAATATCTTTGGTTTATCAATATTGAGCAAAAAAAAAAAAAAAACAATCTAAAGACTAAGGTTTTCTCTGTGGAGTATTATTCTCATACACAGTTTTCGAACTTGATGTTCAAATGAATTAATTTTTCATTTCAATTATACCGGTAATCGTAATGTCCAAGGATTATTAATTTAAGATTAAAAGCATAAAATATGTGCGAATCTCGTTACGTTTATTTCCTAGATATGTAAACATATGTATATGTATACCTATATGTACATTTTTGCATAAACGCATACAAACACACATATTCAAGAGAGCAATTATTTTCGGATATCTTATTACCTAAGCTCGAGAGAGCATCAAGTGAATTATCAGCTTAAAGTGCTATTTGTCTGTTGGATAGGATACGTAAGGTATACGAGAATAGGCTAATTTCCAAAAGCCTAGGGGATTTCCAATTTGTATACAGAAGACAAGGGAGGACTGCCGATGCAATCAATGTGGTCGCCATTACAGTTGTTGAGTCTACAAACAACAATCGTTATAGAGTGGACAGCTTAAAATAGTCCTTTAACACTGAACACTCAGTTCGGCCGATTGATTGATGATAACAACTACCTAGAAACGATACATCGCACAATACATTACTTCGATCGTAGCTAATTACTTTACTGGTAAAAACTTTCGATATGAATTAAAAGTACGGAGAAGAGAACCAATGCTTAGCGAGTCATCTTTAGATCTTAACCTACAGACGAGAAAACTCTACAGATTAACTCTCTCAGAAGGAACTGGAATCGTGGCTTTTGTTGGCAATTAACGGTACACCCGTTGAAACGTAAATAAAGTCAACAAATGCGCTACCAAGGCTTTTACATGAAGCCGTAGGCAGGCCCATACAAAACTGATAGCTGGTGTAGAACAACAACAAGAGACATTCCGGCAGCATAACAATCTTGCGCTCTAGGGATATACGTCGCATGTCACGCCACATCCGAAAATGCTGTCTATATGTGAACGTTTGTATGTATGTATGTATGTATGTATGCATGGATGTATGTAAATATCATATATATACCATATATATATATATATATATATATATAGGCTACTGAGTTATTATTTCAGTCTTTGGCAATATCACAATATTATCTATTCGTATTTTTGGGATCATATATAGAAGCTTCATCACCTACAGTCACATAGTAACAATGTAAAAGGAGAAAGAAAACTTGCAATAAATTACGAAACTATAATATATATATATATATATTATTATATAAATGTTTAATAAATAAAATCTTAAATAATATAAAATTCTCTCTCTTGAGGAAAACGATGGTTACTTACTCTCCCCCTCCCTGAAGGATATCCAATAGAAAATTCATTCTCTTCTACGAATTATTCGATCAGAACCACTGCCGTAATCATACATTTTGCTCTCGGATAGTAGGTCACGGATCGCACATCTTTTTAAATGCAGCGAGTATGATGAAAATTTCTAATTGCTCGACCTAAACATAAGTTTAAGCTGAACCTCTCGTCTATTTTGTTATTCGGTTTAAAGAAAAAATAGATATATGATGTAAACACTGCACAGTGGTTAAATTTTTGCAATTTGTAGGAAAGATATTTTACTGTTGTCGGACGTGTACAGCGATCGAGTACCTTCAAAAACAAATCATTAAGACTCTGGCAAACGTTAAGTAAGTCGTACACGTAATCTATTATTATGTTTGCAAGGATTTAAACATGTATCTAGAGCAAGTATAGTATTATTTAATGGATAAAGCTGACTGAAAAGTCAGACTCAAACTCTTAGGCTAGTCAAACTCTTAGGCTATGTGCATTCACTTTTTAGAATTTTAGATGGGTGCTCTTGTTGTCGGTTGTTATGAACGGAAAAACACGTTATGATGAATATAAAAAAAAAAAAAAAAAAAAAAAGGCTTAAATAATTCCTTTAAATAATGTAATATTGATCAGAGTATTCTATGCGTTTTTATAGCTAATAGCTTACGCAATACCCAAATCACGTAACAAATGCTGTTTGAAGACTTCGCCCTCCTCTCCGAGTATTTGTGCGGTAACGGTGTTGATGAGATTGAACACGATGGCAAAAATGGTAAATGATCCGTAAACTCCTAAAGCAAAGTAACGTATTAAATTCGATTGATGATAATAATGATGATGGCATTGCTCAAAGTTTCGTAAAGCTGCCAAACCAATTGTGAAACCGGCCAAGGAACCTGTCAAATGTGCTATGTACGATATCGAGGGTAGAGCCTTTAAGCAATCCTCTGTCACGCATTTACTGTAGAATGCATAACCAGTATCACAGAAAACTAGAGAAAGGAAATTTAAAAAATAAGAAAAAAAAAAAAAATATATATATATATATATATATGTATGTATATATGCTCTTATGTATATATATAAATATATATATATATATATGAATGTGAATGAAAAGTTAAGGAATTGCATAAACGTTTAAACAAACTTTATGTTATTTGATTTGTTATTATCGTTCTACGTACCAAATATAAAGACAGCCGCAAGCCTTAAAATGCCATAACGCATTTGCCCAAAGTTTATCATGACATTGGCTAATTGTGCTGCCAGTAAAGCGTAAACACCACCACTGGCGCCCACTAAATACACCTTCGAGTCAATGACGCTGGTGCCTAATGATCCAGCTAATACGCCCGCTAGATAAACGACAGCCACACGTTGTGAACCGTGCACCATTTCCAATGGCAAACCGTACAATAGTTGAATAATGACATTGAAACTTAAATGAAACCAATTTACATGTAAAACCATGTACGTTATAAAACGCCATATCTCCAAGCGGCGATCTGGACGGTAAACCAACAAAGACTCGTTGTACGCATAGCTGACGCTGCTACTGCTGCTACTGCCACTGCTACTGCTACTGCTGCTGATGCCGTTGCCGTTGCCGTTGCCGCTGCTACTGCTGTCACTATTATCATTTAATTGTGTTCGCGGCAACTCATTCATGTTATTGTAAACGAACACTGCAATCTACACAAATTTATATATATATAAAAAAATAGAAATTAAAAATAAAATAAAAAAATAAATAAATAAATAAATTTAAATTCATAATAATTCCCGTTTGAAAAGTAACTTTTTGTTCATTTACAATAATTTAACCTACATACGTTAGATTCATATTTATTTATATTGTTTTCATGTGTTTAAGCAAATAGAAATTCAATTTTATTTGTTACTTAAACGAAATAGATTAACTAATAAAATAGTTATGGAGTTGTTTAGCGGCTGCGTTTGAAAATGCTCACAATTCAATTAAAACGTATGACAGCCATTTTACTATATTATATTATATTATATTTTCTCATCTACACTAAAAAATGCTCTTGAATATTATTCACAAAATTACGTTTTTTTAACTAACATTAGCCCTGTTAAAGTCGCATACCTATTATATATATATATATATATATATTTTTTTTTTTTTCAATTTTAGCTAATTTCCTTTAGGCAGACGTGTGAAGGATCATGTGAAAATTGCCACAAGTGACTATAGAAAGTTACATTAATAATATGAATTAAAGCAATGGTATATGTACGATGTAAGACTTATTTACAAAAAAAAAAAAAAAAAAAAAAAAAAAAAAAAAAAAAAAAAAAAAAACTTACGTAAAAAAGAGTATAAAATACGTCGCTACAACTAGTAAACATTAAGCGGAAAAAGACCACATGACTCGATAATCTTTTAATAAGAAGATCAAGACTGTTGTTCCAAAGAAATGATATACAAATTACAACGCAATACTTTAAAATCCGTTGCACCATCAATAAAATGAATGAAGCTTACGTAAGTGGTTTCAAACGTGCAGCAATCGTATCGATTTTATTCATACATGGTGTTTTCAAGTCCTTAGCCTCAAAGCTAAGGAGACTGGACGTCGTCGAGCGTCGTATGTTGACGACTCTGGCACATTATCTGGTCGGGCGGAAAGAGCTTGATGATACGTTCTGACGAAAAATCTAATGCAATTAGTGGTTGTAGTATTTTTTGGAGGAGCATGGCAATAATACGTTTTGATTGCTATGCAGGTATTTGTTTGTCAGAATTATTTATCGAAGTACGAAACAAACAATAAGAAGCTTATTTTCTACATTCATAACACGGAATATTTCACACCCATCAAAATAGTCAATTGTTGATCTTTTGATATATTATTTCGACTTATTCCCTAATAATGTCTTTATCCAATGCTCGATACTTATTACTGAGAGACGCTACTGATGAAATAGAACCCAAACTTTCGATATATTCATTGGTTTTTGAGAATATAAATATCAACTTGAACTTCTATATAAAGCTATAGCCACCCAGAAGTCGTCGTATCATAATACATAACGCAAATGGAGGCATAGATATATGAGGAAAACTATTAGATATAATAAAAAAAAATTGCTCGTGATATTTCTCCCCACATATATAGCTTTAGAGTCGCATAACTTTAATAACACTAATCCTCTCAAGTGATAATACGTGTGTATGTGTGACAGTGTAAAAAACATTATAATTTGAACTCAATTGAAAATCCCTGGCTGTTATAAGTAAACGAACTTTTTCAAAAATTTGCTGCATTTTTGTTGGCATAGATAAGTTTCCATTTTCAAATTACACGTACACAAGTATTGCACCCTTTGTCTTCTCTCATCTACATATTAACCTCATCCACCTAAATAAAGGGCATCTCCTGAAGGGTTTCTCAAGTAAAAGCAAAAAAGATAAGACACCCAAACAGTTCACTTATTTGCTTTCTACACACTTTCGTCTCTTTAGAACGTCGATCAAGATTGGCACATTTCATCCTATGAAGTCATATCAGCACAAGACATTTATCGGAATATAATTTCTTGGATGGCGATGGATATAAAAAGAAGCTCGAAATTTACCATAGGAATTAACAATCAAAAATTTTATGGGCCGCATTTCAATTCGTGGAAACGAAACATAATGGAGGCATTAGCGAGAAGACTTCGATTCCGGAGAAATGCCAGATGGATGAAGCGGCACAAATGACGACAACGTGAACGAATTGAGGCCACGTAAAGTAGCGCTTTTTTCTTTGATACTAATCGTGTATCATAAGGTGTTCCGAATTGCCCTAACTAGTGACTTCTTTCTTTACCGCCAATAATTAATGCGATTAGATCGCTATTTCTAATTGATCCAAGGTGAATAGGAAAAGTATCATCTTCCCTTGCGACGATGCTGTATTGCTTATACAAACTTAATGATTCAGAAAATATTGAGAAAGTTCGAAAGTTCGGAGGCCCTGATGTGGTTCGGATCTTCCCGTGTCCGACTGCCATTTATTGCTTTGGTTCGCACATCTCTCTTGATGATCTAAAGATGACTTCAAATGAAACCTGAAAAACACAATTAATTCACTCTTCTGCCAAGAAATATAAGAAGTTTTATCCTGACGGCATAACGATTTTTATCAGATATACGATATATATATACAGAATATGTATACAGGTGAGTTTCAGTTAAAAAATTATCCGAAGCTTTTTTTTTTTTTGCTTTGGATTACCTTGTTAAAGCTCTTGTAGGGCATAGTTTTTCGCTAAAATTCTTCTACGAAGCACTTATCTTTTATCTACAAGATCGACCGATAAATTGAAAACTATACAAAGAGTATTCGTTCGAATAAATAGTTCTTCTTAAGTGGAAGTAAATAGCTATACGTTTAAATTAGGTTCATCTCTAGATTGCAATGATGCAAACAAATCCCTAATCATTTCGCTTTTAATCGATGGATTTGGAACATGATTCAAATATGGTCTACGATTAGAAGTTTTCTCAATAATGAGGAAAAGAGAAAAATTGCACAGTAAATATGAGTAAAAGAATGAGCTTCCTAGAGATTGTATGGCAAAATCCATTCATGAATCTTTCAAACAAAGAACGAATACTAACGTTAACGTAATGTAACTTTTCGTTAAGTTAGTGCGAGAAGTTCGTCTCTTGAAATTTCGGAATACTGCTTCCAAGAAATACTAGTCAAGTTCATAATAATGTCGATTAGATCAAAAAACAATTTCCAATACTAAGGCAGCAAAGAAATCACATACATCAACAACACCTACATGGAAATAACAGTAGTATTAATATTGTTTACGATAAATTATGAAATAAAACAGAGCGAATTGCTATACATTCGGGTAATACTTTAACTTTCACGAGGATAATGCTAGCAGATCGATCGAAAGATATTAAAATGCATTCAAATTGCACGGGGATAATGCAATCGAATAGTTGTTTGTTTCGCCTTAATGTTTGCTGCGCCTTAAGTGAAATTTTTTGCTTATGTTGATTTTTATGTAAATATCTTCACTACATCAATAAGATCCGATATTAAAAAGTACATCTTTCAAGTCAAAAGGTTCTAATATTCAATTTGATGAATAGGCAGAAATCAGACGAAGCCATGTCAGGCGACATTCGTAAAATTTTGCGTGAAAACATCAATGGAATGCATGCAAACACATTGCTGTGATGCTAAAATCAATTCATTTATCTAGGTTAAGAAGACAGCTATAATAGTATATCTTCGACTAGTGGTAGTTAAGAAGGTCATGTGTTAATTATGGACAGCATGTTCAGCAGCATGTTTTCGTACGATGGGAGCGTTACGTTTGTGTCCAACGATACAAACACCAAAAAGTGCTTGTGCACTGATTCATATCCGGGTAACAATGATGGCTAGAGACCAAACCACCGGGAGGACCCATTTGGAATCCCCGAACTCACCGTAACTTCCTCCGACAAGACGAAATTTAAAAGCATATTTTGAGTGCGACCTTGCAAATGCTATCCAGCCCAGTTTATTATGACCCTCGGGAATCCAGCCTTAAATAGCTTAAATGGTAACAAATCATGATTGACACTATCAAGCACCTCACTTAGATCGGTGCAAATCACATTAGTTTGTTTGCCATCTGAGAACCCCTTTAAAGAGGAAGTTACAAATTCTGAATGCACGGAAATTATCGCAGAAAATTATTGAAGAATCTGTACACCTGGCTTAAGCCAAGCTTTGGTAAAGCAATTGTGGAGACTGCGAGCAGTTTGTTACCTTTTTGCCTCCGAAACATTGTTACATATATAGAAACGCATATTTGCAAACAAACATTATAACGGTTTACATACATGCATGTTTTAAATTCGCTATCATTGAAACCCAAAATGTTTTTTCCTTTTCATTGCTTGCAGTGAATGAACTCTCAATCTCTAAATTTATTGTGTCCTATCTTTATTTCTGGCAAACATCAAATGATTCTAATATGCATACATATATCTAACTAATTAAATTATTCCATTTATTTACTCATCATATCAATCAGGAAACTTGGAGTCTCGTTTTGAACTTATTAGCTTACTCGCTTTGTGCACAGTTTCCTAGCCTTCAACTGTTCTTTCATTTATAGACTACTCACTCGTTACGAGATGCAATATTTTGAGTTTTGGGAAGAAATATTTGAAAAATTTAATTAAATAAAAATTTCGCCTCAACGACGCAAACGATTCAATTAAGAAGAAAACCACTGTAACAACTTAAGAGAAAGCTTTTGTTTGGTCTTTTTTATACCCATCATCGAAGGATGAGGAGTATATTCATTTTGTCAACACGTTTGCAACGCCCAGAAGGAAGCTTCAAAGATCCCACTACACTATATATATTCTTGATCAGTGCCAAATTCTCAACAGATTTATGCATGTCCGGGAATGACTGTTGTTAATATTCTCCTGGTCGCAAAAATGCTGCCGAATTAGCAGTCGGCGCGGCTGATTTCAAATCGCGGCTTTTTTCAAAATGAAAGTATTTGTTGAATAGACGTGTGGGCGTTACAGGCGTGTCCTTTGACAAGTTTAGATCACTTTGAAATTCTTTTGCAAATTTTTAGGCCAAGTCTTCATTTTTGGAAACGAGAGAACATTTACCACAGATACTATAAAGTTGGACAGGCTGGCAGAT